AGTTCATTGAATTCAAAGATGATATTAAAATAATTATAAGGGTTATGTGAAAGGAATAATAATAACCTTCGTTTATAGTTTGGCTCGAAATTTTTTTTACCATCTATACTTTGGCTTAAAATTATCGTTGCAGTAAATACTTTGATCCAGAAATGCCCTTATAGTTACAAAATAGCTCAAAAATGCCATCTTCAAAAAAATTAATTTTACTTTTTAAAAATATTTTCAACTTCGAATTTTTATTTTTAAATTCTTAACCACTCCCCCTCCCAATCCCCCGGTCACCCCCCCCCCTTACCAGCCATCCACCCACCCCCTACCCCCAAAAAAATAATTTTATTTTTTTAAATACTATCAACTTTCTAATTTTTATTTTTTCACTCCTACCTTCTCCCCCTGCCCCCACCCCACCCCACCCCACCATCACCCAAGAAAATAATAATTTTGTTTTTAAAAAATATTTTTAATTTCATAAATTGTTTTTTACTCTAGTAAAAATAACAGATCTCTTAAAAATATTTTTCATTCATAAATCAAACACTAAAAATCATTTTCGAAAATTTTTTTTACTCACCAACCAAACATGAGAAAATAAGTCCAAAATTTACTTGTTTTCCAGGAAAATATTTTCCTAGAAAATATTTGATCGGGGACTGAATTTAAGAATAATAAAGACTTTAAAATATTACCAATTTGTCTTTTAAAAAGTAAACTCACTTTTCTCTCTCCTCATAAATATATTAGATCTTTAAAATTAAATGGAACGACAAAGATAAAAGAGAAATTACATTTTTAAATACTTACCATATGAACAAATATAACATTTTTTTTAGACTAATCAAAATAAAAATAATATCACATAAAACGAGACGGATAAAGTAGTACATAAAAAGATCTCAACACGAGATGGTAGGCCTTAAAGTACATACAACACTTTGATATGTCGCACAATGCGTTAGATATTTTTATAACACTATTTGGAAATTATATACTTTTGTACTCTCTAATTTTATATTTTTTCGATTTCATATTAATTAAATTTTAAATTTTCTTTTTGATTATTCAAAATTGTTATAAAGTGTAACCTATATAAAAGATAATTAAAAAATATAATATATTTTATTCTTCTCATTTTTTGTAAAAAAAAAGTAGAAATAATTATTTTTATGGATTTAAAAATAATTGAAACCTCATTAAAAATAAAAATAATTTTGGGGGAAAAATCTAATATATTTGTAAATTTTAGAAAAAAATACTTATTTAAATCATAAAAAGGTGTTAACTTTTATTTATACTGGTTTAGAGGAAGTACCATGTTATGTTATTATTGAGGATATTTTTAATCAATTCATGTGTATATTATATAACATCTAGAATTTGTTTTACTAAATGACAATGTATCTAAATTACAAATTTAACAAGCTGCCCTCAAAAAAAAAAATCATAGCAGTAATTTATATGTAATTTTATTATAGATTTTTTAAAATAAAATTGAAGGATATAGTAAATACTTTCCAGAATAAATTTTACTTTATTTAGAAAGTAATACATGATTATAAAATTTCGAAACTGAATTTAAAGTTGTATTTCAAATTTAGCAAAATTTTCTAAATATATTTTTCAATTTTATAGAAATTATAATCAAACATAATTTCATTTTTTACGATAAATTTATAAATTTCATATAAAATGAAAAAAAATCTAAAATATTTTATTGCTTTTAATCTTACATAAATCCCTTTATGTTTCATTTTATTTGGCTTTTATATACTATTATTGTTATTATTATTATTATTATTATTAAAGTTGATTTACAAATATGCCCTTGGTGCGTTCTAAAGCAAAAAGCTGATCATGGGATATTTTATCCATTAGTGGGCCCATTTCAAAGGAGCATTTACTGTTGCCTCTTCACACATCAATTTTCGAGGATTAAATAAATTATTATATTTTTTCAATTTATAAAAAATATTTAAATTATTAATTACTTGCAATAATTTTTAGGTTATATTAAATGAATTATTATTTTTATATAGCTTTAAAAGAAAATTCAAAACGATTATTGTCCCCTCCGGTTCCCCCTTAATCCCTTTCCATATACGCTTCATTTAATGAGATTTTTAAATTATTTGATATTTTTAGAATAATAATTACAATGACTAAAAAAAGTAATAGTGAAAAATAACTTCTAAAATTATGTCCTAAAATACTTTTAAATTGAATATATTACACTTTAATAATTTACTTAAAATGAACGTGAGAAGTATATTTTAATATATTTTTTAAATATGTAAATTTTTTTCAAGAGAAATTTTAAAAGATCCTTATATTTGAATTCATGATTAAAATTTTTTTTATTTTAAAAGATTTTTATTTACAAGTCTTTTAAAAATATTAATAGGGAGGATATTGTTTTAAAAGTTAATAAACTATAAACTTTAATTCTCGAAATTTAATATATAAGGGACACCACAAAAATATATGGTGAAATGGAGGAAACTGTGTCTCTCTTAATTAGAGGATTTAGTCTCAAATTTTGTATATAATTTTTTCTTTAAGTGTGAAATGCTTCTTTCGAATAAGCCTTACGTGTTGAATATGCGAATAAATCAAAATCTTAATGTCGCTATGAAACAATTTAAATTGTTTGACCTATATTTTAATTTATTTGGCTTATATTTCCTATTTAGTTCTTCTAGAAAATAATGTATTTTCTTTTTTTGACAATATTTTCTTATCTAATATATTTAATATCATAAATTAGCTAGTATTTGGCTTTAAATTACCAAATATTTTCAGTAAAGCATTTTTTGACCATTCGTTTGACCATAAATTTTAAAAGAAATAGTCGATTGTTTCAAAAATATGATTTATATTCATAAATTTTAAAAATTATTAAAAATATCTTAAAGTTTGTATTATAATTTTATAATGAACATGTTCCATTAAAAAATAATCCTATAATATAGTAATTAATAACAATCAACAACAACAAAATAACAATATGAACAAGAGCAATACATAATTAGTAGCATACTTAAAAGGTGTCACTAATTCAGTATGAGTTATAACCAATTAAAATAAATTGTTCTTTTTTTCAATCTTTTTATTATTTAGTAATATATAATTCAGTAGATGAATATTACTTGGAATTAATAAATAATGGATGTATTTTCTTTATATAAAATATAAAGTTCGGGCACTTTTTAAATTTTTAAAAATTCTCAAATATTAAAATGTGATTTGAATATTAATTTTTTTTAGTATTTGAAAATTTGAGAAATATTTAGTCAAATAATGACACTGTCCAAACACCATTTTCGAAATATATTTGTTGCCAAACGGTCCTTAGTAAATATTTTAATATATTTAATGTATCTTTGATTTCTAATCTGAAAAATCTGAAGATGTAAAATTTTTTTTTTACTCACTCTGTTCTTTATTAAGAAAAATTAATATGAAGAATCGTTTGGCCAATATATTCGTTAAGTTTTTGTTATATACACACTTCTTAATTCTAAAATAACTAATTTTAAGAGCAAAATTAGAAATATAATTAATTCTCTCTTAATTATTAAATTAATAATTATTTTGAAATAAATATTTTTAATATACAGACAACTAAAATACAAAAATATATTAAAACGTTTAATTATATAATTTCCCCCCATTTTTTCTAGATTTTGATTACATTTTGTGAGGAAATTTTCAAATCAAAGATAACATAAAGTTATTATCACTCTAAATTACTCACAGATATTAGGAATGACTTTAATTTAGGGCAATTTTCACGTATAACAAATATAAAATTTATATTTGTATGCTAAAACAAAGTTTGCACAATTGCGCTCTATAACAAATTTATAATATGTATAATTCGCTATAAATATATAATTGAAGCGAATTGTATAAAACGAGAAAGTGATAAATTATATACAATTTGAATTGTATAAAATGAGAAAGCGAGAAAGGCAGAATTGAATTGTATAAAACGAGAAAGAGATAAATTATATACAATTTGAATTTGTATAAAACGAGAAAGAGAGAAGGACAAAAAGAGACTTGTGAAGAAAATATACAATTGAATCGAATTGTATAAAACGAGATTGAGAGAAATCATACATAATTTGAATTTGTATAAAACAAGAAAGACAAAAAAGACTTTGATAGAGAAATATTATATTGTTTAATTGTAAGTGTATATATTGAAGATATATATATATGTGTGTGTGTGTATGTGTTTATACAATTTTTTCTCGCTTTATACAATTAAAAACACAATTTATACAATTCTATTGTATAAAGCGAGAGGCGAGCGACAAGAATAAGCAAGTGAGAGAGGGAGAGTGGCGAGCGAGAATATGAGGGAGAGAAGGAATAACAAACAATTTGCTATGAAATACAAATAAATCAAAGATTAGCTAGTGTATTTATTTGGGAAACTTACATAAATATACTACAATAACAAAATATTTATCATTTATAGAAATAATATTTCTTTTTCAATTGATCACTTTTAATTCATTTATAATACAAGTTTAATTCATATTACAAAGAACAAATATTTATTCACATGTAATACAAATTTTAATGATAAATAATTTTATTTATCACACATTTTAATTCACTTGTAATATAATGTGTCAAACTTTTACCAAACAAATATAATATATTTTAAAAATACAATTATAATTCATATATATTGCATACATAATTCACTTTTAATACATATGACACATTTAACATAGTATTGCTATAAATGGTAATAAATAAAAAGTATTGCTAAAATCAATAATTATTTATTAAAATGTATCAATTTATATAATTTTTCCTATTTATTTTATATTATTAGTTTATTATTTTTATACAATTATCCCTTCAATTTATTTTATATCTAAATATAAATATAATAAATTCATTTTTTTTCCAAATATAAAAATAAAAAAATTATTTTTAATTTTGACAAAAATAAAATAAAAAAGTCCTATCTCGTAAATTCCGCAAAACATCAAAAACTCCACCTTTTTAATCCACCATTCCCCCACTTTTCTTATTCTCTCTCCTTTCTTCTTTGCTCTGTTTTTTTTTTTTTCCATTTCTCTCTGTACATTGTTTTCTCCTTTTCTCTTTTAGAGAGAGAGAAAAAAAAATGGTGAATGAGTTTATGGTATGTGTTGATAGGATCATAATAGCAACAACATGTTTTGGAGATTCATCAGTTACTAATGGTGTTGGTGGGAGAGAAACCCTTTTGACTAATGATGCTGTAAATGTTAATTCTACTGTTGAAATCATCAATTCAAGAAAAACCCATCAAGAAAAAATTAGTATTAGTACTAGTACTTGTGTTGGTGGAGAAGGTTCTTCAAAGGGTAGTAGTAGTAGTAGTGTTAGAGAGTGTAGGATTTGTCAAGAAGAAGATGAAGAAACTGATATGGAAGCTCCTTGTGCTTGTAATGGCACTCTCAAAGTATACCCATTTCACCCCCTTTTTATGATTTGCTTTAATTTTACTTCTTGGTTTGGTTGTAGATTTTGAGTTGTGTTCTTTGAGGTGCATTTTTCTTTTAAATTTTATGAGTGAAAGAGCCTATCTAAGACTGGTCTTACTCCATTTTTTTGAAACTTGAAAATATTTCAAGATAAATTTTCAAAATCTATGGCGGAAATGGGTAAAGTTTCAGTTTTTTTCTACCATTTTCATTTGTTTTCTTAGGCTGGCTAAGGAAATATGTGTTATTTCTATTTTTTCTTCTCTTTTGTTTAATGGGGTTAATTTTTGATTTTTTTATTTTAAAAGTTTGAGTTTTGATATCACTTGTTTTTTACTTTGGCCTGGGAAATGTGTGTTTGATTGTTAATGGATACAAAAAATTTCTTTTGTTTCTTTCCTTGAGTTTTTAGTCTTTCTGCAATATAAAAATGAAAGATTGATGCTTTTGATTGTACAAATATTTTTATTTTCTTATAATAGAAGAGTCATAAATTCACATAAAAACTTTTTGCCAAAACCAACTTTTTGTAAAGTTAAGCAAAAAAAAAAAAAAAAAAGTTCCATGAGAAGACTGAGTTGGGGAGTTTTTTTTTTTTTTTAAGTTCCCAGAAAGTTTTGGTTTTTGTGCAATTTTATTTTTTTTGATTCTTCCTTCACATGATGAATGCCTTGTGAGTTATTTTTGTTCTTATCTGGAAAAAAAATCAAAAAGTATGCTTGCTTGGTCACCAAACTTTTTCTATTCTCATTAAATGTGGATTTTGAATATTCTACCTTTGTTGAACAGATTATTTTACCTGCAAGCTGAAAATATGCAGCAAATAATTAAATGCACGACATGACAATAGTATTTTGATCAAAAGTCTGTTTCTTATTTGTGACCCTTTATGACTAAAAATACTATTGCTATATGTCAGTTATACTGGGATTTTTTTTTCATATTTATGGGAATTTATGTCATAATTGATGATGGTATTCAAATGTCAAAATGTTTGAGTAAATGATGGTTCAGTTATTCTGAATACCATGTCTTCATGGACTGAGTAAATGCTAGTATTGAATTGGATCATGAGGCCATGCCCTTTTGGACTGGCTCAAGTTTTTTGCAAGCTATGTTGGTTGGACTCTTTAGAAATGCTGACGAATTCGTGTTGGATTCTTGGAAAGTGATTCACTCTTGGAGGATCCAACATGGGTGCCACACCCTTTTTGGAGAGTCTGAGCAAACATAGTTTGCAAGCATAGTGTTACTAAATTTGCTTTCGTTTAATGCTCAATTCATATGTTCACATTGAATTAGTAGAGTTTGTTAATGCTGCAGTTTTACCTCAAGATTTCTTAAGATACTATTAGATTAAAAAGCTGAGTATTGATATTCTGTCATCTATTGGACTTTGCAGTTTGCTCATAGGAAATGTATTCAGAAATGGTGCAACAAAAAAGGTGACATCACCTGTGAAATCTGTAATAAGGTTGGTAGCTTTTAAGCGCATGCTTTTAGTGGAAAAGATATTTCTATAGTCTCAAGTGATGTTGTGTGTTCTATTAGGTGTTTTCACCAAACTACACCCTTCCACCGGCAAGAAGCAACCCTGATGTAATGGCAATTGATATCAGGTATGTGCTTCAGGTTGTTAGTTGTATAGTACTTGGCGTTTGCTTTCAAACAATACCTTGTAAAACAAACCTTTGCTGGTTCATTGAAACTTGCAGTTTAAGTTGTGACAGTGTAAGTAGGGACAAATTGCTTGATAGGTTTATCTACTTCTGTATTCTGTGTCAATTGGTTAGTAAATTAGTATCAGTTGTAACCTTGCATAATTGGCATCCTTAAAGAAAGAAAAGAAATGGAGTACTAAAATACAAGACTTGGAAGACTTTTGATGGGACCTTAAATTGATTGACATCAGTTCTCTTGCCTGCTTAATGTCTTAACACTGCTAAATATGAGAGTGGCATAGTTCCGCTTCATCTATCCCTTTTGTTAAGGTTTATGATCATGATCTAGTTTCTTTTCGGAATATGTTAAGTAATATCATTTGATCTTTTTAATTCTCTTTGCCCCAGAGGCATATGATACATGAGTGCCCCATAGGTGTCATCAATCATTTTTGAACATACAGGAGTTGTGTCTGTTCTAAGCTCTCCTTGAGCAAGTTCTTTACCTTGATAGGCCGATTTAGTTGTTTGCGTGAAAATGATGGCATTGCAATGACTTTGTTTTGAAGTTGAGTAGATAACAAGCTTTCAAGAGATCTACTTTGGGATACCAATCCTTTTAATTGTGATTTGGAACTCAGAGTAGATCTTGTTGCATGCATTTTAATGCCATCATGTGCGGAAATCTTTATAAGATTGCTGATAGGTTTCAACAGAACCTAGCATTTGTGACATGATCCAACTACACTAATGTTATTATATATGAAATATCAAATGTCCAGTTTCCAGCATCCAAGCATCCAACATGGACAGTAAATACTCTGTTTTCCGATCGATAAGTCAATCTTTCTGACCTTTTTCTTCTTCGGCTTGTTTAAATCAGGCAAGCATGGGGACCGGGCATGGATATTAGAAATCCTCATTTTCTAGCTTTTGCTGCTGCTGAGCGTCAATTCCTGCAATCAGAGTATGATGATTATGCCATTGCTAGCAGTGGGAGTCTAGCATGTTTCCGCTATGTTGCAATCATTGTATGTATAAGCTGTGTAATGCTTCTATGATACAGTCATTTTGTTTGTAAGCACTTCATTATTGAAGGTCGGTTGTTTTCTATTAATGCAGTTGATGCTACTCTTGCTGATACGTCAAACCTTGATGGTCACGAGGGACTTTGCAATGGTGCAGGACCCATCAACCTTCTTCAATGTAAGTCGGAATCATTGTTCATTCCATATGTTTTGTCTTCTAAGATAGTTCAGCAAGGAGGGCTGAACTCCCATGCTGTTCATTCTTTCACTAGCGTGTACTCTGGCTGTTTGCATCATTGAGTGTGATTAGGAAGTGTACTGCATTGTGTCAGCAATTAGCATGACAATTTACACCACGGTTCTGAGGTTTAATTTGTTCATTTGGATGCATGTACTATTCTTGTGTAGACAACTTCCGTTTATTTTTCATATATATAAACAGCAGTACTTGCACTGACACTCTAGTATGTTTAGCTGCCAATTATTTTAACTTGAAGCATGTTTTGTAAACTTTAGTTTCAGATTTCACTTCTTCAGCTGGCGGCTTTCCTCCTCCCTTGTTATGTAATGGCTCGGACATGGTACATGATACAATGCCGGAGAAGGAGGCAGGTATGTACACGTAACAGTTATCGTAATCATTCTCTTTCCTCTCGCATTCTGCCCTTCAATTTTGTGTCCATGATTGACTAAAATTGGTTCCTTGGCAACTTTTGCTGCTATGATTACCAGTAATGTCATAAGCCTTGATATAACAACCTATGATGTTAATATACAATGACATTGACCCTTTGATTACTTGATGTCTAAGGGTCCCTCGTTCCCTATCTCCGATTTCATGTTAGAACTGCAGAGTGGAAGTTCTTTAGCTTTATCTTACGTATGCACGATTCATTTCAGGGTTAATATGGACGATGTTTGGTTAGCATGAATCTTTTGCAGCCTTTGTCGTCTCTTATGAGGCGAATGCTGCTGTACATCAATCTTCTCTTTCGAAAGATTATCTGTATCTATCTCCCGAGGTGCAAACGTTTAGTTAGTCCTCTCTTCGAGCTCTACATATAAGTTCTTCCTTAGTCTCTCTCCTTAGCTAGCGAACTCGGAAGCAAATGTAAATGTGAGGATTTGAGTTCACAGGCATGTTTTTTTTCTTCTGTAATCTCAGTTTTATTGGATGTCATAAAAACAATTGACAATCCAAATGAAATTTCTAATGGAACAAGGAGTTTTCTGCATTTTGTTGAGGGTAGCATGCTTCACTCAAATATGTATATTTTATATATCATAAGTTTATTATTGTTGACTTGTTATACTTTTTGCATAATTCTCAAATATATAGATTTGTAAGCATATTATATAAATTCACAAACAAAATTAACAAGTTTTGACTCTTGAGATTCAAAATGTTGAACATAAATTGAGACAAAGATTACATGTTTGATTGTTGGAGTTATATAGGTATTAGTTATACATGAATTTAATTATGTATAATTTTTTTTCAAAATTTATACGGAAAATAATTTTTTGAGTTTCCAAATTGCAAATTGTATATCATATAAATGACCTTCCAATCTATAAGTCAATTTTCGACTATATATTTATATTTTATGGTGGTCCTATTATTTTCTTAGACATTTAAAAAGGGAATATATTGCCACTTAAAAGGTCACACTGAGATTTATGGTAAGTGATAGGGCTGCATATACTATGCTACGTGAATATATAGTATTTTTTTAAATTTAAATATTATTATTCTACTTTTTTATTCTATTTCCCTTAAATGTTTTCTTTTCTAAATCAGCACATTCTTGTTTTTTCTTTTTTCCTTTTCTTTGACTACAAATTTTCTACCATTAAAGTGGAAATTTCAAGTTCCATTTCTAGAACCTCCAAAAATTTAGTTTCTTAATCTTTGTTTGAATTATTTTTAGGGAGGTTCTCAATTTTCATATACAAGCCAATCTTGAATATTTAGATTTGATATTTAATGGATGTTCTTCGATGAGAATATCGTTGGAGTTTGAGAAGCTAAAAGATGAAGTATATTTAAATGAGAATGAATTGAATTAGTGAAATTTTTGTTATTTTATTTACTCAACATAATTTCTTCTATATTATTCAATTTTATGTTTTTGTGTTTCTACTTATGAACACTTAGCAAAGCAAAAGTGTTATTTTTAATTTGATCTCGTATTCTCCTAATTTTTTCAAGTGAAATTGATCTCTTTTGAAAAAAAGAAGAAGAAAGGAGATAGCATTTGTAATAACTATCATTAATAGTGAGGTGATTTCATACTTCTTTTCAGATAATTTAAATCAAATGGAGTGTTGATGAGATATAGAAAGAAGATAAAATAAAATAAAATGGAAAAAGATAAAATAAAAGTAAAATGTAGCACATGTAATTTTTTTTTAAAAAATCAGAAAATTAATATGACAAATAAAATAAGAAAGTTTCTGCACTTTCTTTGTCATGTATTAGTTATTCAAGGGGATAATAGGACCCTCATAAAATATAGAGATCTAGTTAGAGTTATCCAGGTATTACTATTGCAAGATTTAGTTATGCAGAATTTAATTATGTAGGTATTAATTACGCAGGGTTTAGTTATGCATATATTAGTTATGCAAGTATTAGTTACGCAAAGTTTAGTTATGCAGGGTTTAATTATGTTGAATTTAATTGTGCGGGTATTATCTATGCGGATACTAATTATGTAGGTATTATTTAGTTATGTAGAGATTACAATACATGAATTATCAACTATTGAATATTAAACTTGTAAATTATTAATATATATTATTCACATAATAATAATACATGTTAATAAAATGTGAAATATATTAATAATATATAATGCTAATATTTGATTAACATATGTACCATCAAAAAATATATAATCAATTTTTTAAATAGTAAAAAAAATATTTATATGTGCATAAATAAATAAAAATTGTAAATATATAAAAATAAATGAAAATAGTCTATATATAATAGAAAAAACTGCAAAGTTTCCAATTAAAAAAAATTAAAATAAATGAAAATGATCTACATATAAAAAGAAATAAAAAAAACAAACATATATAAGAAAATAATAAAGTTTTTAATTAAAAAAATAAAATAAATTAATAGAGTAAATCTGTAGTTTTTCATTTTAATACATGTATAACTAATACCCATATAACTTATTTCATCTTCTACACTACATAACTTTATGTAGGACTATAAAAAAATGCAATCAAATACTGTACAAAATTTAACACAGGAATAACTTTTATACTATATTTAAATTCTTACCAACCAAAAATGGTACAAGTTATGTTACTTTTATACCTAACACAAAATTTCTATCAAACATAATAAAACTAATGTAACTTTTAATACATGTATAAGATATCTCTTATACAGTAACCAAATGACCCCTAAGTGTTTAATCAATCAAATTTGTCCATCATTGTTATATATATATATATATATATATATATATATATATATATATATATATATATATATATATATATATATATACTCACATAAAAAAACATGTTTATCTTGATATATTAAAAGTGACAATTAAAAATAAAATATATATGTATATAATATGGTAGATAATAAATAAAAGGCCAAATACATAAATAGATCTCTAAACTTGTTGGGTTTTATCCCTCGGGTACCTCAACTATGTCATTTTTCTATTGAATCATTGAATCACCCGTAATTTGTTCATAGGGGTAATAAACCTTAGTATAGTATAAATTTGTCTCTGAGATTTCAGGCATAGATTGAGAGAGTACTTGTGCATAAAAAATATGAACTTCTGTAATTTTTTTCAAATAATAGAAAAGATAAAATAGGTTATGCATGAAACAATTTTTCCTTTATTTATTATATTCAATCCATTTTTATTCGACCCATCCATTTATTAACTTGTTCTCCCTAGTCACGACGGTACGTTCCAAGAACATATGGCGAAGTTCTCTTGGTTAAATTTCTTAGAGCTTAAATTTTGCCATTTCACCAAGCCAATTGAACACACCTAATCCTCAAATTTTTAAAAAATAATCCAATTTTGACTTATGTTACTGATATCTAGAGAAGAAGACTAATTAAACTATCCCAAATTAAAATAATGTAACCAATTTTGGCATTATAGTACTACCCACCTATTTTCTAGAAGAAGGAATATTAATATTTATTATATGTTATGTTTTGAAATTTGTCAAATAATTTAGAAGTGATAAAGTTACAAGTACCCCATCCTCCTCCTTTGCCTTGTATTCTAGAAGATGACTCTCTTTTTTAAATTAGTCAAGCCTCTCATTGTTCTTTTATGGTCATCTAGAAGCCAAATTTGTTTGAATTCCAATCTTATATATAAGCATATTGGCTATAACTTCAAACATTCAAACACTCTCCTATATACATTTCTATTTTTTAGAGACTACTTATATACACTAAGTTTATACTATACTTCTTAGTTTGAGGCTATTATTATGAAAGGATATATGGGAAAGAAGGATTTAAGGATATCGGAAGAGGAAGATCTAGACGATACTCTTTCGCTCTCTGATCTAATTCTCACTCATAACGATGATAATATTGATTCTGTAGAATGTGATAAGTATTACGACTCGAAGAGTAGTGTTACTTCATCATCAGATGGTGAAGATCACACGTTTGAGTTCATTGTTAATTATAAAAACAACGTCGTACTTCCTCCTGAAAATATCCTCTTTTGTGGGAAACTTATTCCTTACAAAAACAATAATTCCATATTATCATCGTCAATGTCGAAAAAACGATCGTTTTCGTTTTCACGTAAAAATAAGTTCTTGGGATATAATCCAACTCATGAGATGGAATTGAAGGATCTCAAAAATCGATTAGATCGTAAAGTTGGCGATGAAATTAGTGATTATAACAAATATGGCAAAGGAAGTGGGAATGGGAAAGGAAAAGGGATATTATGGTCATTGATTAAGGCAATAAGTTGCACTAGTGGTGGTGCATCCTACCATGCACAATCTGCGGTCAAAGCATCTATTGGTTGCATGTCTCTTGTCTAAGTGTCGCTTGGCAAGTCCGTTCCGCGCTCTCTATCCTCTTTTTGGGGGTCCTCATGAACCGCTTTTTAGTATTCGTATTTGCCTTCGTTCCGCACCTTCCCTTCCACACGGAAGGATCATGGGGTTCTCCCAACATACATATTCGGAGGTGCAACTGTTTAGTAGGCAAGGATCGGAACGGGCGGTGAAAAAATAAAGAAATCTTTCTATATCGAAATCTTAGTTGAGAAAATAATAGAAAAATTCCTGAAATCACCCGTAAAGAAGAGCGTTTGAAGTAACAGTAAAATTAAATTAAATTTATAAAAATAAGCATGATATTATTTGTATTAGAGTAGACGGACTACGGCTTGGGCTGCGACCCTTCCTAGAATGAAGACAAGCCGGCTGCTTACTTTTGTTGACTCTAGGAGCATGCATGAGCTAGAGAGCTTATTTTATTAGAAATTAGGTTGTTGAATTAGAATATTCAATAATATTAATCTATATTATATTTCTCTACCTAACATATTTATGTTCATATTTCAAGAACTCTTTGTTATTCCAATTTTTGAAATATCTAAGCTCTTCAATATAATTAATTAATAAAGTAAAAAATAATAAAAATAAATAGAAAAAATGCACAAGTGCTCCCAATCTATGCCTGAAATTTTAGAGACACACTTATACTATACTAATGTCATATACCTTTTTGAACTTATTTTATAACTAATTCTCTATTCCTTTTGGACTTATGTGGCACTAGCTTGAAAAAAATGTCCCAAATAAATACAGTATATACTTCCCCAAGTATCCCAGGAGGAAATTATTAGGGAAAAGAACAGATATTGTACCCAAAAAGAAAACTACTTATAAATGGTTATTTCATTTATTATTGTAATCCCCACCCCTTGTTTTAATATTAATGTGCGTTTACTATTTGATATCATCTTATTTAAATAACTTGATAATTTCAACTTTAACTAATTTTGATTTTATTACAACAATTAAATCACAGTATTTTAATGAGTCAAACTAGCTATGATTAGTTTGAAAATATATCTTAAATTTTAAACAATTCTCTATTTTCCTAATACTTAAATTCATTTGAACTTGGAAAATTTTAGTTGAATCTATAATTTTGTAAAAAGTATTTAATATTTGCATAAGGAAAAATGCACAAGTACCTCCTTAACTTACACCCGAAATCCAGAGACACACTTATACTATACTAAGGTCCTAATGCCCCC